AATACTATCTATCCAATAATTCAATTCAAGAGGATATTGTCACGTGTCGCATTTCAATCATAAAACAGTTTTTCTAATAAATACATTTATTATTATTATTCAATGTTCACCTAGTATATGAAGAAGGGATGTAAAACGTTATCAACTTGTTCTATAACAGTAGCAGATATTATCGTGGGTAATATGCCGAGACCATGGCAAATAGCCGACTATTACTTCCTTCATAATTCTATCGAGAGTAATTTGTAGTTTGACAATTTAATGAGACCATATGAACATTAATAATCTGAATAACTTCCGAGAGCTTCAGCTCGAGGGAGTTATTCTATGAAAATAATATTCTCAATTTGTCATGGTCGAGTGATATTCAGGAAGATTATCTCATGAACAGTGTGAAAATACTAGTTTATATGAGTTTCATCATTTTATTCAAGTTAAATTTCACAATTCTGCAGATACTATTAGAATAAGAATTCTTCTGAAGACCATCTGGAGTATTCTCATCATATCTACGTACAATTTCAATCAATTTATCTACGGTAAGAGTAGAGAAAGAATATTAACGCTATTGATAGCGTCAATATTCTCTGATTAGAGCTTCTGTACTTTCCTTTCTTGTTTGAGGAAAATATTGTAGGCTTCGCCTTTTCGCATTATGCGCAAATCTGGCACCCTGGTTCATTGAATTAACCTTCCTGTATATAGTTTTCCATATGAATAGGATAGAAAAAGAATAGAAAAATATTTATTGTATTAATATAATTATTACAAGAGGGGTACGTTCGCATAAACACGTTCTTCCACGCCCCCTTTACCAGGTACATTCAAGTTAAGATAATTACAAAAAACAAAAATCTAATATCAAATACATAAAAACGATCTAAAATTCATGAAAAAAAAAAAACAAAAACAAATAATATATATACACATCAATATCATTCTAAAACTATCACAGATGGTTTGATTCATTGGATTGTCTTGCTAGTAAACTATCCCTGAATAATGTTTTGAAAGAAACAAATTACCTAAAAAAAAAAAAAAATTGTTCTATCCGTCATTCGGTTGCCCCCTTACGAGCAACCCTCAGAAGTCTTCGAGAGTCTTGTGCGAGCAAGGAATGACGGGGGCCTACCTTGCAACATATCAAAATTATCGATATTATTCATAAAACTGACTGATAGATGAGCAAAGCAATCTTCAAATGTTGATGTTTTGTGTTGGTGAATATCGTATCTCCACATATTTCGAAGTTGTCGATCATGAATTTCATTTCTTGGGATAAGATAATTATGCAAATATTCTGGTATTTTGTCAGTATAGATTCTAAAAATATATGCAGCAAAAAATATTTGATATCTGTAATTTGTTTTAAGATGTTTATTATCATTGTGAATAGCAGTAACATGATCAAACTTTCTTACGTTGTATACGAATCGCATACAAGAATTCTGAGCCAACTGTAATTTATTTTTAAGTTAAATTGTCAGGAAGCTGTAGTACACTGTCATACAGTAGTCAACTTGTGGATAAAGGAGAGTCTCAACTAATTTATACTTGATTTCTTCATTGAGGATGAATTTGAATTTATACAATGACTTCAGTTTTATGAACATAATTTGAATTTTCTTATTAACGTGTTCTTCAAAATTGAGTTGAGAATCAAAAATAACACCAATCACCAATCACCATATCAATTTCAACTGTGTATTCCTAATATTCCTCACCATTCTCCTCACTTAATCTTTCAGGATTTGGGCAATCACGAGAGTTGGGGTAGTCGTACAAAATTTCAGCGAGTGTCAGAGAGACATTTATATACCGCGTGATATAAATCGTTTTACATAAATAGTAGTTATAAGTTCGATATAAATTAGTGTTTCTTTAGTTTAAATAAATCAGTTCGAAAATAAATAGTGTCGTGTTCGGTTCTGCACCCGAATAACGTAACAATACTATCTATCCAATAATTCAATTCAAGAGGATATTGTCACGTGTCGCATTTCAATCATAAAACAGTTTTTCTAATAAATACATTTATTATTATTATTCAATGTTCACCTAGTATATGAAGAAGGGATGTAAAACGTTATCAACTTGTTCTATAACAGTAGCAGATATTATCGTGGGTAATATGCCGAGACCATGGCAAATAGCCGACTATTACTTCCTTCATAATTCTATCGAGAGTAATTTGTAGTTTGACAATTTAATGAGACCATATGAACATTAATAATCTGAATAACTTCCGAGAGCTTCAGCTCGAGGGAGTTATTCTATGAAAATAATATTCTCAATTTGTCATGGTCGAGTGATATTCAGGAAGATTATCTCATGAACAGTGTGAAAATACTAGTTTATATGAGTTTCATCATTTTATTCAAGTTAAATTTCACAATTCTGCAGATACTATTAGAATAAGAATTCTTCTGAAGACCATCTGGAGTATTCTCATCATATCTACGTACAATTTCAATCAATTTATCTACGGTAAGAGTAGAGAAAGAATATTAACGCTATTGATAGCGTCAATATTCTCTGATTAGAGCTTCTGTACTTTCCTTTCTTGTTTGAGGAAAATATTGTAGGCTTCGCCTTTTCGCATTATGCGCAAATCTGGCACCCTGGTTCATTGAATTAACCTTCCTGTATATAGTTTTCCATATGAATAGGATAGAAAAAGAATAGAAAAATATTTATTGTATTAATATAATTATTACAAGAGGGGTACGTTCGCATAAACACGTTCTTCCACGCCCCCTTTACCAGGTACATTCAAGTTAAGATAATTACAAAAAACAAAAATCTAATATCAAATACATAAAAACGATCTAAAATTCATGAAAAAAAAAAAACAAAAACAAATAATATATATACACATCAATATCATTCTAAAACTATCACAGATGGTTTGATTCATTGGATTGTCTTGCTAGTAAACTATCCCTGAATAATGTTTTGAAAGAAACAAATTACCTAAAAAAAAAAAAAAAATTGTTCTATCCGTCATTCGGTTGCCCCCTTACGAGCAACCCTCAGAAGTCTTCGAGAGTCTTGTGCGAGCAAGGAATGACGGGGGCCTACCTTGCAACATATCAAAATTATCGATATTATTCATAAAACTGACTGATAGATGAGCAAAGCAATCTTCAAATGTTGATGTTTTGTGTTGGTGAATATCGTATCTCCACATATTTCGAAGTTGTCGATCATGAATTTCATTTCTTGGGATAAGATAATTATGCAAATATTCTGGTATTTTGTCAGTATAGATTCTAAAAATATATGCAGCAAAAAATATTTGATATCTGTAATTTGTTTTAAGATGTTTATTATCATTGTGAATAGCAGTAACATGATCAAACTTTCTTACGTTGTATACGAATCGCATACAAGAATTCTGAGCCAACTGTAATTTATTTTTAAGTTAAATTGTCAGGAAGCTGTAGTACACTGTCATACAGTAGTCAACTTGTGGATAAAGGAGAGTCTCAACTAATTTATACTTGATTTCTTCATTGAGGATGAATTTGAATTTATACAATGACTTCAGTTTTATGAACATAATTTGAATTTTCTTATTAACGTGTTCTTCAAAATTGAGTTGAGAATCAAAAATAACACCAATCACCAATCACCATATCAATTTCAACTGTGTATTCCTAATATTCCTCACCATTCTCCTCACTTAATCTTTCAGGATTTGGGCAATCACGAGAGTTGGGGTAGTCGTACAAAATTCATAGTTTTTCAGCTGACAAAAAAACATGAATTGCTCCAGAAAGACTATTTACTCTCCTTGTTATTTTCTGATATCGATTCGCTTACATAATTACGGATTTCCGTAGTGGAAGTTGACCCAAACCGAGACATTTCAATTTTCGAGTGACTGATAGGTATGTCAAATAAGGTTGACAACCATAGCACTCTTATGCTGGCGAACAGAATAGCCACTCATATTGTTTGTTTACCTAAATACCCGCTGATATCGCATATCATGTGACTTCAATCATGACATTTCATAGGTCCAGCCGAGTTTGAATGAAATAATCAGTAATATCAGTATTTATTTGCATCTTTAGATGAATATTCCTTGTAACTTCCTCAAAAAATTCTGATTATACCTAGCATATCCTTTCAAATGCATGTCACTATATTTCAGATACCACGCCCTCGAAAATCGTACAATTCTTTAAAGAATCATCAATTGATCATCCTAAGTTGATGAGGCAGGGTCGCAGATATTGAATTGTTTGTGAACTTTGTTACTTGAGCTGATTTATTGATGCTATATATATGAACTGTTTTGAGAGGAAAAACGCAAAATGACAATACTTCTCAAACCTTGGCAAATACGAGATTAATACTAGAAAAAAAACATCATCACATTAATATTGAATATTTATAGTTATTTAACCAACTAGTGTATTAATGAGTGTGATTAATGATCGAGATATGCATATTCTAGTTGAAATGGTGGAGTTCATTGTACCAGTAATATGGTGAAGACATAGAATTCATTAGCAAGATGATGTGCTCCGGACGAGCACTTCGAGAATGTTCGACCCCTAAATAATACATAATCAAGATAGCGAATTACTATCAACAGTAAACGCCATCACAGTATAATTTTTCAGTAATCACTTCTAGAAAAAAACTAGGTGGTAGTAGGATTTGAACCCGGAACTATTAGCACACACTCACTCAACAGACACAACAGCGTTCCACATATACTAGTACAATATTATAACGACCATCGTACTCTGCAAAAATTTATACGAGATAATTGAAATTATACTGTGAGCATATCGATGCCCCACTACGCAAGAGCACCAAACTTTTGTGTCATAGCAGAAATTGGAAAATGTGGAGAAGGTTCCAACGACCACGACGATACTATCATCCATATAGACATACTGCGTTTTCCATTTAGCTAGATTGATTACTTGTCATCTCCTTTTGATAAGACATTTTCAACAGGTTTCTCGTGACATTTTACTTACATTAACAATACCAGGAGGACAACCAACTTCATTCAAAAGTTCCATCAGTAACATCGTTGCTCCAGGGTCTTTTTCTGACGGTTTCAGAATAACTGTATTTCCTGCTATGAGTGCCAAAGGAAGCATCCAAAGTGGTATCATAGCAGGAAAATTGAATGGACATATTCCTGCTACTACTCCAAGCGGTAGTTTGTATGATACGATATCCATGTCAGTCGAAATATTTTGTAACGATTCTCCTTGGAGTAAGGTACCAGCAGCGCAGCTATGTTCCACAACCTCTGAAAGTCAAAAATTTTCCAGCATCAATTATTATCCTGAAGTAACAGATTGAGGCTGTGTCAAGTCAGTCATTCGACCACAGTGGTGATACCGAAATGGTCAATGGTTGACTCGACTCCCATCAAAAGTTAGAGTGCATGGTAACTTTGTGGGCAGGTTTGAATCGTGACCGATATTCCCAAACAGCTGGTTGGTCAGACTGATGGTCAGAATTCATACTGATCGTATGTGCCCGGTCAAACCACAGACTTGACACAGCCTAAGTTATAATTCATTTCCGAACAAGACTAATTGGATGAATTGAATAATGTACAACGGAATTGTATAGGAGGGTGGGACAACTGTAATCGAGTTCTATGATTGCTAGAAATTTGATACAAGAACGTGAGGAAACTGAATCAGAGACCCTTCAACTGAGAGATATTTCCAATCGTACAGAGAGAGCCAATGTCTATTTGTACATTCTGAGAAGACATTCTTCAACTTTATGCCACTATTATGATAATATTATTGTCCATCTCGCAACCATTTGAGTGGAATAAATTTTTCTTCTTGAAAAACTAATTTCATTCGAAGGTGTTCCATGAGACAATGCGAACACAATTATGGAGTTTACTGGCGAATAATAACAATTTGTAAAGAGACGTCTTCGGTATCCCAATTATAATTACTCCCTAAGAGTCGCGATATGTATTTCAGTTCAGAAATATTCCGATTCGGTTACCATGTTATTTTTTTGCCTACAATAGACAAACTTTTTCTTTGGTTGAATATTGGACCAATATACAGTGAATGTTGGAGAATATAATTACATTTTAGATATTACGCCAATGATTCATTGAGACCATTCTGCCATAGTAAATTACAATCTCAGGATAGGTCAAAACTCATACAGTCTACTCCACCAGAATTGAACTATGATGGAAGCAATTCATACATTTTCGATAGCTCGAACGAACTGTAATGAGTTTACCTCAAACTTGCTGCAATCCACACTAGCAAGCTGGATTTGTATCTATTAATTCATCTAAAGTATGTCAATTCACAATAGACTTTTTATATGAAGATATTCTTCATCATACTTTATATTCTCGGAATATTGACTGATGCAGAATAGTTTCTTCACCATCAAGATATTATGAGTGTAACATGAGTTGCCTTTTGCACTGTTTGAATATCAATATATACACTGTGCCCAAGATAAGGAGTGCCAGTATGATGGGCATCTCGGAATATAAATATATATCCATTTTTGTATGTTCATAATTTTTCCTTTCCAACAGATTTTTTCAAGTTGACCCGCCAGGCAAAGAGGTACCAATTATTACAAAAATAGAATGACACTCTCCTATAAGAAAGCAAGGAGATGTACTGATATGATCATAATAAATATACCAATTTTTGCATAATAGAATCCAAAATTTGATATGAATTTATGGAACTTGGTTGAACATTGTCATCAAATGAGTTGATATCATTGATATTCCTAGGAAATAGAGATATGGATCATTATAAAGAAACGTCAACTTCAATCTCGTTAATTTTTAGTTGACCCATATAAAGTATATCATCATCCAGTAGAAGTAACAACGATGAAATTGTATATTTGGGTGATATGTTACTTCAAAATGAATACTATCAACTGATATCAACTCGTTAGATTTTTTTTTCAGGGTAAATTGAAAAAGCATATATGAGATTTTGCGTTTACATTCTGTGTAGGAGTATGTCAGCTACGCTTAAATCAGGAAAGCTCCTGTGATCAAACAATAGTAGGTCTTGAAATAACTACGATGTTTCGATAATAGTAATTTTCGAAAATCGGTCAACAGATTTCAAATCAGGAGGTTGTTGCGAGTTGAAATCGCACACACATTGGAAATCTCGAGTAAAAAAGTAATCCATAGCTCAGGTGGCTTCCCATGAGGGCAAATTAAATCATACTCATTTGACTCAAGATGAGTATTTTGTTGAATTGCTTCATTCGATGATATAGAATACTTTCCATCTCTAAAACCACATATAATATTTGAACATCCTAGTCCAAGTTGAAATCAATAAAAATTCCGCGATATTTGACAGTCTTCCCATTAGATTTTGACGACTTCATCTTGTTTTTTGAATGTTAGTGTATTGAAAGACAGTAAAATTTTCGACTGAGAGGTGAAAACAATGAAGTGAATTTTGCCAACAGTTACAGTCAGTAGTTGCCCATCGAACTATTAGAGGATAGCTTTGAAGTTTTTTTCAACTAATCTGTTCAGTTCACTCCACTCACTGGCCTTGTAGAATACCGCTGTATCATCCGCAAAACCGAACACTTCGTGCTTTGCCTCGAGCTTGAATAAATCGTTCAAGTACAGGCTGATTTTAAAATAAGTGCATATATTTTAAACACTAAGAAAGCTTGAGGTATACTACCGAATAGCACTAATAAAAATATTATTAGGATCAAAATAGATTTGGGGCAAATTACCCTTTTTCCGCCCAGATTTCTACTTCTGTCACAACTATCGTTTGCGATCCGCAGTCGACCGTGATGAACGAAGCGACGTTGCCACTCTACATGAAAATTAGGAGATATTAAATAAAATGTATAATCGAAAAAATGTACATGGGGAAGAAGTTAACCCTGGTCTTGGATTTCAGAAAGATAATACAAAAACTTCAAAATGGACTCACCCAAGATTTCTACACATAAGCTCGAATAGCGTATAACTTAACACCTCACGGTTGGAAGTTATTTTGCTGAAAAATCCTTTAGACCCTTCCTTCCACCTCCTTGCATCGCTACAATTTCGTGGTCTTCGAGGAGTCTCATGGGCCCCGCACAATAACGACCCGACATGAGAACCATATCATTCAGCTCAATGTTTGAGAAATGTATCGTCACATTCCAAGCAAATTGTCAGAAACAAAACTTTACATTCAGTGTTGTTCCTGGGTCTGATTTTTTCGTAATAGATTTTCTTGGAAAATGGTAACAGATTTGTATCAAAAGGTAATAGATCCAAAAAATCTGACATTTGACATTCTGAATGTCATTCTTGTAAAACCATATCGCACAAATTAGACAGTTTTGGCAGGAATGAGGCAGGTCACACAGAACTTATGACATAAATATAGAACATAGACCCATAGAGCAGAACATAATTATCCGCTGAACACAAAAATAGATTTTTTAGTAGCAAAACATCATATTTCGGTGCTAACAATCTCCGTGGAATAGTAATAGATCTATTACAAAAGTAATGACAAGGACCACACTGTTTACATTTACTAGTATCACGTTTTGACGTTTTCCAAAATAACATACATTCTCAGAACAACAAACTGTCAAGAAAGGATCTTTGTTTCGATTGTTCTTATGGTGTGCTACCAGCAAGCATTCAGATGACCATGAATTACTAATAGGCGACTTTTACGGACCAATCAGAAACAGCAAAGTAGTGCCTGCGTGGTTGCGATTCATCCTGATTGGGCACAGGTGATTGAGATTAATGTATTAGTGAGGAAGATCATATCTTTAAATGAAACTAAAATTTTCATAAAAAACTAATTTGGAAAAAACATCTATTAGTTTAATTCAATGAAATGATACTTCCTCACTATACACTGATCTCACAAATCCAATCAGCTGTGTCCAATCAGGATGAATCGCAACCACGCAGGCGCTACTTTGCTGTTTCTGATTGGTCCGTAGAAATCGCCTATTAGTAATTCATGGTCATCTGAATTCTTGCGTCCGAAACTGTCAGAAGCATGCGCAGTTTCACAGAACTGTATGATTTTTTTTGGTTCTGTGGACTTGTGCATGCTTCTGACGGTTTTGGATTGTTTATTTTCTGAACGCGAACAATCCTAGTTAGAACTGTCAAAGGTCACAGCAAAGAGGAGATCTATGGTCACAGATACTTCTGTTCTGAGAAATGATGTTGACAGATCATATGATAATAGTTTTGTTTGTGTGTTTGTAAAATAATCGTAAACGTAAAATAAAAAATAAAATAATTGGATGTTGTGTCTTGTGTCGTGATAATCGTGATATTGTCGTGAATTTCAATGTGAGATTGCCAGGAAGGATATGTCGTCGTCGAGTCGTTTTCGATGGTTTAAGTGCGAATATGAACCAACAAGAATACAGGACGATATTAGTCTGGAATGGACTCGATATTAGTATTTGTTTGCTCTCGGGAGTTTTGCTGTTCGAGCAGGTATGAGAAAATCTACTAGGTGAGTCGATTTTCAACTTTGTGGAAGGAAGGGGGACGTTCTATCATTCCCCTCATGTTTCTCTCCGTCTCTCGTGATCCATTGAGATAATCACCCCACAGTTCTCTCAGTGAACTTTAAAAAATAAGGCTCCTGTACATATTACATTCACCTCTATTAGTTTCCATAACCTATTTCAATTCATATTCATTCTGTGACAAATTTTTATCAGGAGATTCGTCTCTGAAACAATCTGGCATCACTGTCTTGTTTTGACTTTAGTGAATGACGAATTGGAGATTCTCTGGGATTCCGCAGATTTCACTTGCTTCCCAGTGGCGTACTCGAATTTCGAAGCATTTTATGTTCAATTTTCAAAATGAAATTTCTCGTTAATGTGAAGACTTAGGAAAAATCAAATATTTTAGTAATTTTTGTTAGACTCTCTCATATATATGTCTTGAATATATGCACTCATTTTAAAATCAGCCTGTATATGTTGAAGAGTATAGGTCCGAGCACAGTACCTTGTGCGACTTCGAATTCAACGGGTTTGCTTGGGCTGGTGTATTCTTTGAATGTAATGCATTGTTTCCGGTTACTCAAGTAACTCTTCAACAATGCGAGTGATATATTTCTGAAACCAATACTTTCCAACGTACATGAGAGGGATTTGTGGCTGACAGTATAAAATGCATTCTTGAGATTCATAAAAATGGAAATGCATGCTGCTTGCTGTCTTGAGCTTGACTAATTTGAGTTGTTGAATAGTTTATTGCATCTTTCG